CAAAGGTAAAAAAAAAGCGATGAACACGTAAAGATGCAAATCATTCTGTAATAAATAGATTTGGCATACTTGAGTAAAACTAGAAATACGCTCACAATCAGTCAACACAAATACTCATCCTCGTTCTATGTTATTATTGGTCACAATGTTACGGGAAAAAGAAGTAAAAAAAAAAAAAAAAAAAAAAAAAAAAAAAAAAAAAAAACAGGTTAGGAATGACTTCATAAAGGGTCATTCACCGAGAGGAAAAGCTAAGGCAAGGCAGACCAAAAAGAAATGCGAAAATTAAAGGGAACATCAAGAGAGATAATGGTGAAGGAGCACCGCGCTTGCTACGTTAAATACCTAACGAAAACAAATTCGTTTTATTCAACCGCCTCGCCGAAGCCGCCGTTTAGTTAGGAGCACAAATGCCAGAACGCGGCAGAAACTGAGTAATACCTTGCTGCCGCGCCGAGGGAAAAACGACTTTTGAGGTTACGATTTTTCCCCGAATTTCCTTTTAAAGAAATACTCATTTTTGAGGGGACATCCGATTTTCTATCTTTTAATTTTCAGATTTACGAGATTAAATTGCGAGTAAAATTAAAAGGAACTTTGAAAATATGTTCTTTACAAATATGAAACAAATACCCACGCATTTTAATCAATATTTATTTTGATATCCGACAAATTTCGGCTCTAGCTGACCATTATCCGGGGCGCCACCCTCGCGCAGCCAAGGCCGAATCGCGTCGGATAAATTGAAAAAAAAAATAAAAAATGAAAAAATTGGTGTCGCACGCAAACTTACTGTTAGTGTGCAGCGAAATTATTGGAGCAGTACAAAATAGTTGGAGTACAATTGGATGTAATTCTATCAAACGAAACTATGTGCAATATGACATGAGCCCTGTTGTGTACATATTCTTATGGGTCTCAGGGCTCAGTCTGAATGCACAAAGTTCTGTTTGATAGAATTACGTCCAACTGCAATAACTTGAAGTGCAACTCCAACAAATTTGGTGTTCAGTGCCAATAAGTTTGTATATACAACAACAATGATGGTTGGTTGGGTCGAAGTCGTCCAACCCTCTTTTTTCAGTGAAGGAAGGAAATTTTGATTCGGATTGAGGAGTATTTTTCTCATATTTCAGTGGTCTCTGAAAATTTTTGACTCAATTCTTCACAGTCTCCTACAAATTCTTGTTTTATCAGCGTGTGGCGTTCCTCGTTCGGGGGTTTCTCGTAAAATGGCAGAGCGTGGAGAAAACTGGAGAAGGCGGGTGATTTGGCATTACAGGTTTGAATTTGGCATTATGGCCGCATTTATGAGGCGCAGTGGTGTTGAAGCGCTATTTATGTTGGCCGCTAACACGCTCCTTAGGGACTCACTCGCTACCAAAATCACATCATACATTATGCAGGAGTCGCTCTTGCTTATGATATCATTTTCCATGCCAAAACACTGACTAACAATTTCTCTTGATTTATTCTCCTGAATCCACCGCCCCTTTCAACTGCGATCTTTTTCACAGACTACTTTTTGCTTACTTCCTCATTTTTCCTCGTGTTTTTCAGCTTTTTAACTAAATGAGCGTCTACAACATTCAAATACATCGTGAAGTTATAAAATGTATGTCCACTCTATTAAAATATCCTATCTGCAAGCTGATTTTTGAAATTAATAAACAAAGCTGTAGACAAAGAAGAGATAGGGAGTGTGGAGTGATCCTATTGGTTGAAGCGGGTGGTTCTCATCCACTTAAAGGGGAAAATAAAAGACTATCTATAGTGTCGTTCATCGGTTTCCGTTAGTTATAGTCTATTGTTTACCCCCTTATTCCATCGCAGCCACCCGTTTCAACCAATAGGATCGCTCTGTACACCCTATGTCTTACTTTTGTATAGCTTTGTCTATCAATTTCAATAATCAGCCCGCTGGTTAGAAGTTAGACACTCTTGTTGCAAGTTTATAACAAACAATGCACAGTGTGCGCAGTGTATACATTATAAGTACACTACGCTATTGCGGTAGGCTAAAATCATCTGATTTTTTTTTTTTTTTTTTTTTTTTTTTTTTTTTTTTAAATTGATCAGCTAGAACTTTTTAAAGTAGCGACAGTCTTTTAAAAAAAATTATTCGACTGATATTTGGAGCTTCTAGGATTAAAAACCTGCTATATCCAATTTTTTCGGAAATTTCATGTTAGATGCTCAGCAGGTCATATTATTGAGGTTCTTTAGAATAAAATTAACATAAAGGTTCAAAACCTGTAACAATATATTTTTTGTTTGAAAAATTTGAAATCTTTGTACGGTCAATTTAAACGAATTATTAAGATCATATTTTTAATACCGTGGAAGTTGAATTCCTAAAAGCTTTGTACTTTAACATGTCATTCATTTAATTAAAATTGGAGCAAAATTATTCTTTCAAGGACTTTAAATGACTTGCACAAGCATAGCAAAATGCTCTTTAAGAATAAAACAAAATTAATTCCGAAGATAAGAGCGTGACAATGTGACTCGGTTTCACTCAGGACGAACAAATCGAACAGAATTGCCATACTCTCCAACTGTTGCACAAAAACCTACATACTTTGTCGTGCCAAGTAAAAACGTCGAATGGACATTCTAACGTTGCCAATTCGCCCCTGATAGAACCATCAATTTTTAAGGGATATATGAATATTTTTTCTTGGATTTTTAAAATATACTTCCGTTTAAATTTCGGGCAAAATGTTCGAAAAATTTGGAAGGATAAGTGCTCACATATCTTCCTAAAAATTCGTAAGTATGAAAGATAATTTGACAACATACAAAAGCGTATACGGGGTTGTCTCTTAGTATAGCCGCACAATTCTTGTTTTTTTGTCTGATTTGATAGCAGCGAAATCGCTTACAATACAGAGGCGCGATCCCTTTTTCACTGCGAAAGGTCGGAGGGCCCGCGCCAGAAGGGATGCACAGTGAGAATACCCAAGGGATAGGAGTGATTGCCCCGGGGACGGAATTAGAGGCCGAGCAGATTAACACAAGTAGCATGCTGCCGACCTAAGGACAAACGCTCTATGGGCATCCGTAGGTTGTCAGGTTTCACCTGATAAAGGAATTACTTTTGTGGAAAGTGACAGGTATTTCTCATTGAAATTTTTTGATACACAAGAACAGAGTGTTAAAAAAATGCTTTGAAAAAGTCAGAGGAAAAAGTTGAGAGGTTTTCCAAAACATTCGTATTCAATTGGAGGAAATTTTGTGACGATGGAATGTCGGAACGACGTTTTTCCTTAGCATGGCATCATGAAAAATGCAACACCCTCGGTACAGTCACAGAAGCACCAGTGATTAATACATTTTGAATAATTGCCGCAAAAATCTACAGTGTTTTTTTGTGAGTTTATAACCGTGCCCCATACGAAAGTGTCACAAATGGAGGGGGTAAATTGCTTTCCACCCACTCCAGTGGAAAGTTCATGTAATTTGGGTATTTTTTGTCAATTTTAATCAATTTTAGGGCAGTTTAGGGCATTTAAAGAGATTTCTTTACAGCTCCCTCCCTTCCCCGACTCCCTCCGTCCCCCGTGATAAGTCTGAAATAATGCCCTTAGTACCTCAGTTGTATAAAACTTTTTCTGACAAAACATTCTGATTTTCAAAGCTATTCTAAAAGCATTGACATAAATATGAGTTCAACGTATAAAACAAAATCGTGCTTTTCAGAGGGATATGAATAGACTCCTTATCTTCGGCGTCGGATTTGCAACGTTCTAATTCTAAATTTTACGGAGTGCATCATGATTTGGTCAATTTCTGTCTCTTCAGGTTTTATGTCCTTTACACGGGACTGAGGACCGATTTTGACGAGAAATAGGGATTTTTCGGCATTCGACCCAGAGCCCAACCGGCTCACATCTGAGGGCGTAGATCCTTGGCCGGTTAAGGGGGCCTAATGCGATATTTTGCCCGGTCCCGAATCCGAGCGACACCTTGTCGGCAGCATAGAGTGGCGCTCCAGAGCATCGCGAGTTTACGCCTTGCGTCATGGCGCCTTCAATTTTGCAGATGCAGCACGGACATCCATCAAGCATGTATAGTTGTATCTCTGCGCCGTCATCAACACGCGTTCTGTCCCTTGGTCTATTTCAGTATTGGTTTCGTTTGTCTCATTTTTAGTGGTGCTTCAATCGTCACGTGAGCAACACAGTCGGAGATAGGGAAGACGTAATCCGGCCTCGTTTTTTAAATTTTCTCCCAAATCTCATTGCATTAAGAAGAGCATAGCGAGTTCAAGCCTCACGCCTTACGCCATCTCGCCTTCAGTTTTGCTTTTGCAGCATGGACATCTATCAAGCACGAATAGTATCGCGTTGAGTTGCGTCTAAATTTTGAAATTTGAGAAAAGTTAAGTTTGCTCAAAATATGATGTGTGTAAATTAACCATGATTTTTAAACGAAAAAAAAAGAAAAGAAAAGAAAAAAACAATTGTGTGAAGGTCTCTCCAGTGCTCTAATGGGCGCACGTTTTAAAATTGGTATTCTGGCCAGAGTTGTTTCATATCAGGTTTTTTTTACGACTATCCTTATAAAAATTGCCCGGGTCAAATTGACGCGACTGTCTTTTCTGAGGGAGTTACATTTTGGCGGATACATTTTGTGGGGGCTGAGAAAGCGCCAGTATGTTACCAAAAGGGTGATAATGAAAAGAAAAAAGAGTATTTTTTCTCTCCAAAACATACAAAAAAATGAAAAACGTTCAATTGAAGCCTATTATCATGCTCCCTGGTGAAGATGGGCCTGCTAAGTGTCTTCACTTCATGCGAAAATGTAGCCGCGCTTCGCTTTGATCCAGCGGGCATTGAGCATAGTCAGTGATGATTGCCAATTCGCATGAATATGTTTGCAAGTTTTCCCGAGAACTATGAACATTACCCAAATTTTACCGCCAAAGCTACAACACTGTGGTGACGCACAGAGTTATAAATTGAAACACAGTCTTCTAAACACCGCAGTCTCGTCAATTGAAACGGCCGTATTTTGCGCCACTCACTTTCAGTATGTTTTCGGAGGAAATTAGCACTCGGAATTTTTGTTATTCTTTTCATCATAAGCTCGGGAGTGATTTGTGTGGTCGTTAGGTATAATAAAATTAATTTCAAATAATGACAAATTTTCAAGACACATTCTTTTACATATTTCAAAAATTGAAAATTATAGAATTATGCAAAGGAAATTAAAGTTGTCATATTTCGGGCTATTTTATGTATCTCTGCGGATTTCACGACATGCTCATGAAAAAGCTAATTCAAAAACTAATTCAAAATACGAGCGCATAGGGAGGAAAATATACAATTGGTGAGTGAAACTTGATGACGAATGATAATAAACACTGAAATCAATAGCATCAGTTACGAGAACCATAAAAACCACCATTAAAATACCGCCACCGCCATTTAAATACTGCCTGATCGTTTTTGCCAAAAAGGTATTAATTTGGTTGAACTTAGGGTGTTCTCTTATCTTTACGCATTTTGCATATTTTCTCAATTTACGGCGATTACATGCCACTAACATATGTTCACGTAGATGCTTTGTGCCCATCATTGCGGATTTTAGACCCAAAGCTCCTTCTTTCTTGCAGCAACATCATTGATATGGAGTCAGAAAATCATCATCTATCATCACTCTTTATTTGTTCGGAATTTCATCCGTTTCAGAATTGTTGCTTTGACGTGGCCAGAATTTGCAGAACATAGATTTTAACGATAGATTGTCCGATTTCCACCTGTGATAGTTGCAAATATTACGATGACAGACTCTTTCTGTTTCTGCGTATCTTTGAGGACTGCATCTCTTGTCATAGCATGGTACTACTTGGTAAGTCTTCAATTCTGAACAATGCATATGTATTGGACAACAAGTTTGGTTCTTTTTGTTCAATTCTGTTCTTGATTGGACTTTATTTTGCAGCAGGGAACAACATAAAAAGAAACTGCATTTCTATCGCAAATGATGCATCGAAGTAAATATTACTAGCATTATATGTGCTGTCTATTTTTATGAATTTGCTTTCCCAAAAAGTGTCGATGTCGAATCATTGACAATCGGTTTCACTTCTATTTCAATGATTCAGAAAACAGTAATGCAAGGAAGATTGTAAAAAATAAATAAATATAACAAGCTTTTGCTCTAACAGTTCAAATATTCTTGAAAATTTCTCTGTCATGAACTTACTAGATGGATTGCATTTTGCAAAACGGAACCACGAGTATTGCAATGTTGCTGAAATTATGCAAATTGTTTTGTCTTTGAAAAAAAACCTGATCATCTATAATCATTTTCTATTTTACACGCTAGAAAATGTGGAATTAAGACAAAAATTACCATGTGAATTCCATATATTTGCATACGTTATATACGGTAATTTTATTGCGAAGGGTGGAGTTGCACAATCTTAGCAACATGGCAATGCTCCTGGTTCCTTTTTGCAAAACGCAATCCAGATAATCTTATTAATAATCTAAATTGGCTTCACAGATAGCTGGAATCATTGGGATACTTCCTATGGTGCCCACATTGTATGAATATATTACATCAATATCTACCACTGGCAACACAGGTCTCTCTTTTTCTTTTACATCTCAGTCAACATTGGATATTTTACCCTACTTTCGAAAATTCCTGTAGTTTTCAAGTACAAATTAATACAAACAGAACGTATCATTTATTCCTTAGCTTTAAAAGCACAAAAATATTATACCGATTACTATGTGACGTCCTACTGTCACCGGCCCATTGATTTTTTGCCGAAAAGCCTCCGAATATGTATAATCTCATTATCTTGTACCAATAAATGTACAAATTATATTAAGGATAGCTATTACACTTTCCCTGTTTCTTGAGTATGTTTTATTTTTATACTTCATTCTTATTATCTCTAACCAGGTGAAATAATTACACGTCTCATGGTTGTACAGTATTACTTTTTATTGCTACTGATGGTTATTTCCTGCGTGTTTCTCATCAATGGCATTTATAAGGTGAGCATGATTTGTTTATACTATAAAAATGTCAATTAGTGTCAGTTTTTTGCTACCTTTCCTCCCTCCATCGATTCCACCTTATATACACACATACAATTATAACATATGTATGCATGCATACAACGACGGTGATATTCCCAAACCACGTATCTCCATTGCAGTGTTTCGGATTCTCCCTTTGTCCTTAAACATATTAATGGAGATCAGAGCGACATCATTCCTTGGAACTTCCAAAAAATACTGAGCATTATTTTTCTCGTAATTTTCTACAGTTTATGAGTATGTAGTGTATAAGCCGACAAAATCTTACCGTTACGCAAAAACGCTTGCCGCACAGCGCACAAGAAGCGAACCGCTTCGAGGGGTTGGGTCGCGAAGAGGTCAGAGGGCGTACCGGCGTACCCCTAGTGAGAGAATAAAGTGGTAATTACGTTGCTGCTGCCGTGAAATTGTTCAGTCTCCTTACTAAAAAAGAATATCTTATATTGATTCTTTTGATCCGAAAATGCACCGATAAATGATTTTTAAGTTTGTTAAATAATTGCAGAGAAAAATTTACGTTCATGCATAAGTGAAATTGAAGCGTTGGGTGCAGAAAGAGCATTTCTTGGTTGCGGGGTTTTAAAATCTCCGGTGCTAATTTTTATTATAGAGAGGAAACTTAAGGGTGAACTTTCTAAAATTTTACGTTTTTAACACAGTAAAATCACAAGGAATATTCAGTAAAAACTACAACAAATTAATTACAAACATTTGCTTTGATCATAATGAATGAAATGTTAGCAGAGATTTTGAGACATGCGCAATTGCGCATTATAATTAAGAATTGCTCTTTCTGCACCCAGCGATTCAATTGCTTATTGTAGGCTTTATAAATAATGGAATAATGGTTTGGTAGCTTTTTTTTTTTTTATCTGTATACCTCCTGTATATTCCCCGTTTTCTCATTCTTTTTCATTTAAATCTTTTTTCGTCACTTAGCAGGTGTCATGTGATTTAATTATCATGATATTTTCTTCCTCTCATAGAATAAACCAAATCACACGCGATTGTTCGTGATTTCTGGTAACCTACTCCTGAGACATGAACTATTTGTAACTACGCTGCTCGCATTCACTCCTTTGAGAAAAGACGCTGAGATTGCGTTACGGCCGATGTCGGAAGCTCATATTATGGTGCTTACGAATCCGTACCTAAAATTAATTAATCTTGGTAAGTACATGCTCCCTTTAATTAATATATTTTAATTGTGAAATTACAACCCAGATCCATTCCTAATCAAATCTTTTAACAGTCATAATTACGAGGGGGCACTTGAATCAGTACCAAACCTTCATGAATTTCAAATTGCCAAAAGATACGACTATACTCCTAACTCACAGGGCCGGATTAAGGGGGTGGCCACGTGGGCCGCCGCCCATGGCGGCAAATCTAGGGGGCGGCAAATTTTGCAATTTTTTTAAATGTAGGTATAAGAAGAAATCGGATTTATAAAACAAAATTACAAACGAGAAAAGGCTACAAAATCTCTCATCTCCTGAGAGTATGGTAATTTCTAATTCTGTCGTCTTTCAGTGATACAAGAGACAGTACCTTTAATTGGATATATTTCTGTCAATCGGAACTATATGTGCATTGGGACATGAGCCCTGAGACCAATAAGAATATGTGCTTAACGGGGCTCGCGTCATGATGCACATAGTTCCGTTTGATAGAAATACGTCCAATTAGTCGAGTTAAGAGAGAAACCAAACACACAATTTGGCCTGGAACAGCGCGACTTAGGGAGAAATGATGACGAGGACTTGAGATGAAAAGGAGAAGCCCTCGGCGCGGCAATCGGCATGTAATACATATTAGCGCCTACAAGACTGCATGAATACTTCACGCATTGCATCAAACACAGTGCGGTTATTGTGGTCAGCGTGAAACGGATAGCGCCTACAAGAATGCATGAATACTTCACGCATTGCGCCAAACACGGTGCGGTCGGCGCGGCGCGGCGGCGGAAGTTAAAATCATTAAACTAAATTTTGTGTTTGTTCTTTCATAATTTTTTCGTTCAATTCTTATGAATGGAAGGCCTTGTCCATTAGAGATAGGTTTACGAAACTTGACTTTCGCGCAAAGTTCCGTGACCTTTTGCTAGTAGTGTTGACAGGGCTTTCCCAAAAAATGTGTTCAACACGAGTAAACGCGTCTTATGCACCCCTCCCCCGCTGGAACGTTCACTCGATGGTTTTTATTGATGTTTCAAAACGAATGAAAAGGTGGCGGCAAAATACAGGCGGCCCATGGGCGGCAAGTAGGAAAATCCGGCCCTGCTAACTCATAGAGACTATGTACGTGTATGCATGTGCCATTAGTTTCCTGATGCAAATGTGGCCTTTTATGGATGAGATAGAAAAAGTAGCTCTTCATTAAAAAACCCAATCCACATGTCGGAGGAATATCGAGATGCGTTAACTTAAAGGCCGTTACCTTTTCATGCAACTTGACTGAAGTCGTGTGCTATTATGGAACATTATAACTTTTTCCCGCTCGATTTGAGCGTTAACTGAATATTTATTTCTTGTTGTAGTTGTAGCAGCGTACCTAATTCTGACCGTGCATAGCTACTACACGAAAGCACAGCAAAAAGACCGCCACGGTTCAGGCAGCAATGTCATCTGAGGAGAATTCACCGCTATGGCTTCAAACTTATTTTTTTCGCTTCAATTTGAGGGCTTGAGGGCAATTGAGCTTTCATTTTTTGCTTAATTATTGTGTGTTGAATTTAATCCCCCTCGTGCACTTGCCTCAACATACTCTCAGCAAACTCTTTTACTGGACCAACATACAATTTCCAGAGAGTAGGCACTGTTGTAAAAGCCCAAAACGAATTAGGTGCTCTGACGTTCCTAAGCACTTGAATGTGTTAGGAACGAGCATGGAGAAAAATAAAAGAAGCTTTGAATCTTCATTCCACATGATGTATTGGAGTACAGAGAACGTGTCGTCTACAAGTACAGAAGTGAGGCAAAACCGTTGTCCGCCAACTGACCTGGCGTAGAGTATTTGCACGGTAGCACGGTTATTCCTATTTCTTTGATAAAATAAAGTTTTACCGCTTTTTGAATGGTCTACAAGTTTTAAGTTATCGTGATGCTCTTATGGTTGTAAATAAACGAACGCTCTGATCGGTTAATAAACTTCAAAAATGTATGTCAACCCTTTCTCGAGAAATTACTCTAGTTTCACTGTTACCAACCCTCTCTCTGGATCAACCTAACTAAGAGTATTCTTCGATTTATCATGTTAATGTGACGTAAAATTAGGGCTAAAGGTCGGCCCTCATTAGATAATTAAATTCTTCATCAGATATTTAATGATTATTTCATTATTTCCTCCCAAAGAGAATTCAATGGTTATGCGTGGAATCACAATTCGGCTTATTTACTCATGGCCGTAAGCGAACCTTATCAGCCTATTTTTCACGACCAATGAAACACCGGCACACAAATGGCCATACTCCGTCTAGAAAGTGCTCTAATCTGGCGTGCAAACCCTGTATCTTACATTATACATGTTTCTTTCCGACAGAGGGTATGCAGGAGAACTAGAGAATTTTGACACTTCCAGCTTTTACGATGGATGCGTTGCAGGGAAACTACCCTTAATAAGTTAGGCACTGTTGGTTTGTTACATCATTTGAAAAAATGAAAAATAAACATTTACTGATTTTTGTATACTTAGTATGCGTTTAGAATGTGCGTATTCTTAATTTATGTTCTTACTTTATAATGAAACAATGGTAAATTTAGTCTCTCTGAAACAAGCTATAAAAAAAGTATATTTTATATAAAATGGGACTTAATATCTTCTTAACTAGTAACTTTTTACCCTTCTCATTCTCCTACAACCCTTAAACGACGACGGAAAACCACCTTAAAATGGCCACAGATGATGCCAAACGCAAAAAATCGGAACGCGGGTAATCAAGACTTCTCTTCATTAAATCATATAACACCACCATGTGCCTTGAGTCGCCAAATTCTAAGGACTTTATCGCAAATTCCTGTCACATGAAAAAGCTCCATTTTGTTCATTCATGTAGAAAATTTTCCACGACGATGGTGGAATATACTCCTACCATTTCAATTTCTAAACAGCCTCCTGATTGGCTCCTCTTTCAGACTCTCTTGGAGCTCATTGGGCAGATAGTGAACAACCATTCCATAGTGCTATACTTATACTACGACAGAAACATTTTCGCCATTTTCTCTGTTTGCTCTTGACCCTGAAGAGCTTCATGAAAGCTTTAAGGCCTTTGATTGGTCTGCGAGTTTTAACTCACAGACCAATCAAAATTCGGCACCATTTTTCTACATTGAAAGGATCAAGATAGCAATCCTCTCCCTATATGTGAGTATATATTTTGCATTCTTGCAAGTAAGAAAATCGGTGGAGTCGCTTTGTGGGAACTGATTTCAACTGTGGAATTGAGCGTTACACCTGAGGAGCACAGGTAAAACTATAACATTAATTTGCAATGCACTACTTATGAATTTTATTTCTATGTCAACCTCCTCAAAAGGGAAAAAGAAGCGGGAGACCAAACTACATGTAGAAAATTATGAAGGAAAACAATGTATATATTTATTAGAAGAAACGTAGATAGCAAAGAGGGAACGAGGAGGTCTAATAAAGATATGGCGAGCTCGGAGGATGTTTTCAGGGCGACGTTATTGACAGCTGCGGGCTTCTTCGGGTGATGTTTTTGAAACAGAACTATCAACATGCTTGAGCGATCTCACTTTACTCTAGGGTGAGGAGGGAGGAACGCACCCTCTTCGCTCTGTAGTCTTGGCGCCAAAAAATCGGTAAGCAGATGGTGATTTCAAATTACATTTTTCGAGTAATCAATTAATTGGTACAAATATTGGGGAAAATCTCGTCGATTTTTCTGAATAAATTTTGTATGAAAATCTATTTAACTAGGAAACAACTAAAAGCAGCTTGTTTTAGCAAATATAGTGTAGACATGTAAGCAAATGTCGACAATTTTTACGCACTTTTGGATAATTTTCAATTTTGAGCTTAAAAAAAAATAACTATCTCGCCCAAAATACTGAATTGCGTTGATTTCTAAACGAGCAGAAAACATCAATTTCACGTTTTAAAAAAAGAAAGAGAAAGAATCTTTAGATTTTCTATGAAAAGAAACAAATTTTTTCAGCGTTTTCGAAAATAAGTACCTCAACTAGTTTATAGAATTGTATCAATTTTCTTTTGAAAAAAAAGTAACGGGGCTCATTTTTTCTAAAAAATAATTTAATGGGATCGATATTTTCTTGAGTAATTTAAAGGGATTGATTTCCTCTGGAACAACTAAATGGAGTTTATTTCTTCTGGGAAAAAAAGAAAAGAAGAAAACAGGAAAACAATTTGTTTTTAAAAATAAATAAAAATGAAAAAGTATTAGCTCTCTCTAAAAAAAGGGGGGATGAAGAATCAAATCGTACTGCTTGTTTAAAAAAACATATAGCCTTGAATTTTTCTTTGTGACGGTCAAACAGCAGTACTTAAAAAAAAAAAAAAAAAAAAAAAAAAAAAAAAAAAGATATCCTTTTGATGATTTATCAAGCCTCTACATTTGTTCCCACGGGTTATCGAATGGGAATGCTGTGCGTTCTGGAGGGGAAAAGAATGAACACGGAGTGGAGGGGGGGCGCCTCGCCAGCCTTGAAAGTCCCCCTCGTGGTGTTGTGGCGCCCAGACGGTGACGCATCACATCCAAACAAAAACAGTTGACCGGCTCGTCGACATAGATTGTGTTACTTTCTTCCTAAGCCCTAAATTCTCATTCGGTCTTTAAATGGTGTTAGCTCCTACTTACTTGTACTGAAATTTCAGTTTTTGTTTGTTTGTGCATGGAAGTGAGCCTCATTTTCAAGCTTGGTAAGTATTCATCAGTGTATATACTCTTAGACCAATGGTTATAAGTATGCAGAAACAGCAGCGGTGAACACACGTTTGAGCACCCATGTTTATGTGTTGCAGTCGAGCACTCTCGAGTATTACTTTCTCCTCGTGAGTTTTATTTGTATTTCAATGGCCAAAAGCCAAAGTACGAAAGCACGTATCTCCGTTTGTATCGTTGCAGCCCTTCAAACGAGTGGATGTAATTTCTTGAAATCTTTCTTGATTTTTCTTATAGATTATTCTGAAGGAATTCTGAGCTATTGAGTTGGCTGGTTGCTTGTTTCTTTGAAAAAATAAAATAGGAGCGAACATTTTGAAACACCGTAATGGAGATGAGATACGTTGTTTCGCACTTTGGCCATAGGTTTTGGAGAGGTCGTACAAGCACATACGTATGTATGCCTTGTCAGAGTCATAAATTTCAACATAGCACATGTTAAAAGAGGCATGACCTGCATAACGCTAATTTATGGAATTTTTACCAATCATTGTATAATTTATCGTATAAATAATATTTAATTTGAAATCGTGAAAGACTATGCTACCAATACGCGAGTTGTTTATCACCAGGGGTCATTGACTGTTGTCGCACCTGAACAGCTTGACGTACATACAAGATCATTATTTGTGAAAAAGATAGCATGCAATCATAGAATTTCCATTCAGATACCAGTAGTTATGCGGCGAAACGTACCGTCTTTTTTATGGAATAGTGATTGAGCTTACTCAAACTATCCTCGAGAGCCGATAAACATAACTGGCATTTTTGGGGGTAATTTTACGCTTATACTTGAGACGTTCGCAGTTGTTATGGCTTCTAAATGCATAACATTAAGATCAAAGCATGGCAACAAGAACCGGCACCTCGAGTTTCTTCTTTCCTATAAAGCCGTACTATAATTAGTACTTATAATTGCCTCGTTAACAGCCATGCAAATCCCATAGGAGGACACAATTGTTATCAGCCATCATGAGTAAGAATTTTGAACCACGAAACGTGGCAACACTTTTTTTACTATCGCCAGACACGAATTTGAAATATGTAACGTGTAGTACTAGTAATGCGGGCGAATTACGAGGAAACAAAATTTACAATGATACCCTAAAATGAGACATTTTATAATTAGATTTGCGATTTAGAGGCACACAGCCGTACACTTACACGAGAGAGTCAAGATAAGACAAACCGCCAAGCTGGCAAACATGTTGATAAAATAAATTGGTCGAGGTCAGTTGCACCTACCTCCTAATAAATGTTTATATTCAAGCAATGGTTTGGCTCATGCTATTCGCATGCGCCATGCTGCAAATAGGTGCTCCAAAAAATGCCTTCAAATTGGAGAGTAGGCAAATGGAAAAACCCCCCATAATGGTGAGTCAAAGTAAACTACCTCAATTCGTCGTTACCCGGACAAAGGAACTTAATTCCGTTCTAAAGCTGTAAAATTGACAAGAACACTCCAATTTTTGCCACAATATATATACGCTATCTCTGTTCAAAAGTATGCACATTTTCGCGTATGTATATTCAGAATGAAAAACAGTAAAATTTTCTAAAAGAGAGGTCAAATAGTTTCCTAGTGAAATGCGATTTGCGCGGGGAAATTTTGCTACATTGATATGTAGTTCCGTGCTTTCTCGCCTGGTAAGCGTTAGGTTGAATGATTGCAGTAGTGAAGAGCATTAATTATTGTATGCATCGAGTAGTGAAGTTTATAAAATTCTATACCTGTTTCAGGTCCTGTGTCTGCTGACTTCTCCGCCGGGAGCTACTTTCCGTGACTAAATCACTTAGTTTCCTCTAACTACATTTTATGCCACCATGGGTGACGGCAAATCAAATGATATTTTTCCCACTCTGAACTCTTTTTGTTTCTGCATTTCCTTGCGGACAGGATCACTATGCATCGCATGGTATTACTTGGTGAGTATTCACTCTTAAGACCTCGGTGAAATGATGAGATCTCTTTGCTTCAATGTCTTCCCTCGGGTACACGTTTAGGTATCTTAGACAAAATATGATCTCTACGTCAGGAAAACTATGCTGCCCAACCTAAAAGTTCTGAATTTGTCGCCTAACCAATCATTTTTAACCATTATTGCCTAGAGAAGCTGTCTTACAGTTTTATTACCGACATCAAAATACTGAAGCTGGAGGTTTTCAAAAATTGACTATTGAAGCAAAATATCACTTATTCCGTCTCCGATCATTTTCAAAATGATTCAATATAAACTCGATTGGCATGGGCCCCAACAAACTTTAAAAAATAAAATTAATCATGGGCTTGATAATTAACGCCACCTCAAAGCAGTGGCGATTCTTGAAAGTTGTCAACATTATTTTTCCTCCATTTAAATGTATGTAAAACAGAAGACTCTTGGTGAGGCAAATTGCCTCACCTACAATCGATATACATATACAATGGATTTCAATGGAGAATAACAGTTTTGCCAACTTTCAAGAATCGCCACTGCCTCAAAGTTATCTGAAATCATTCTAGTTCTAGAGTAATATTCGCTGCAGTAAATGTATTCGTTTCTGCATACTCTCAAACATTTTAAAATGTATATAATCGTATCTATTGTGAATGTGTCGATAAACTATGAGTAACTGTTACTTGAAATTTGCAGATCGCTGGACTCATGGGAATAATTCCTATGCTACCAAAACAGTATGACTTCATAACATCAATATCTACCACCGGCAACACAGGTACTAAATGCTCTCTTTTGCTTTGGGGGCAAAAATTCGATTAAAGAATATATTTTACGAATATGAGAAAGTCCAGCAGGTGTTCTTAAGATATGCATGGTCTTCCTTGCTGTATATACGCCGGAAAGGAAATTGAAACATCAATAAAAACCATCCAGTAAATGTGCAGCGGGGAGGGTCACATAAGACGCGTTTACTCGTGTTGGACACATTTTTTGCGAGGCTCTGTCAACATTACCAGCAAAAGTTCACGGAATTTTGCGCGAAAGTTAATTTCCGTAAACCTATCTCTGTGTGAACAAGGCCGTCATTTATAAGAAATGAACGAAAAAATTATGAAAGAACAAACTGACCCCACCGCACTATGCTTGTCGCAATGCATGAAGCATTCCTACGGTCAAATAAGAGCTGTGCGTTTCACACCGACCGCTTCTGGACGCACTGTGCTTGACGCAATGCGTGAAGTATTCATGCAGTCTTGTAGGCGCTATGCGTTTCATGCCGACCGCCGCGCCGCTCCGTTCCAGGTTAAATTGTATATTTGGTTTCTCTCTTAACTCGAATAATTAAAGCGTTGTCTCTTCTATCACCGAAAGACGACAAAATTAGAAATTACTGTACTTTCATTCTCAGGAAATGAGAGATTTTGTCGCCTTTTCTCGTTAGTAATTTATTTTCTGAATCCGATTTTTTCTCTTTTTTTGATACCTACATTATGAAAATTGCAAAATTTGCCGCCATGGGCCGCGGCCCATGTGGTCATCCCCCAAATCCGGCCCTACTATCAATATGGGTCTGTTGCCAACCTCCACTAGCGCGAGGATACGAATAATCCATTATGGGAAATGCGTCACTTCTGCAGGAATTTCTAACCTTGATCATGCATTCGCACTTTAATTTTTAGTCATTTTCTGTCCGTGACGACTCTTATTTCCGCACTGACATGAAGTTGGGAGCAGGCGAATGGTTATCCCACGTCTTCTGAACTGTCCGAACCGAAATCTGTGTGACAGAAGTTTTGCACCTCACAATAAATGTTAGTGAGGCTGCAACTTAGCACTGCCGATCATCTTCCCATCGTCACATGTATTTCATGGATTTCTACCAACCGAATTTTTATTTCCTCGAAGAATTCACTCTTATTTTCTCTTTTTCTCGCTGTTCGCAGGTGAAATGATAACTCGTCTTCTTATCGTTGAATACTACTTTTTACTCTTACTCATGGTGATTTCTTGCATATTTCTCATCGATGGAATCCGTAAGGTTGGTAGTTTTAGGAATTATTTAAATCTCATTTGTTCGAGCTAACTTTTTTTCTTTATTTTTCGAAGAAATACAGCACTTTAACTCTTACTAATAAATATTATCAAAGTTACATTATTGAAATACTCATTTATCAATAATTCATATTACTTAACTCATGAAGAGTTCCTGATCAGTCATATGAAAGGTCACGGTCAGGTACATGACATAAAAAAAGAATGTGATAAAAGTTATAATAGCATGGGGCCACGATAAAGGAAATTCTGTTTTTCAACTCAGGAAGGCAGACATCACGAAAAATCATGCTAAGTATAGTATTTACTTGATATTACTCATATTTCAAAACTGAATTCAAAAGCCTGATGCGAAACACAGAGACTAGGTGAGCTCAACAAAACGAACTCGCAATAGTAAAGCTCTTGAAATAATCACATTAGTTCTTACACATTACAACAACCCTTATTTTCTTAACTTCTCGGTATTTTGTTCTCTTTGCTCTAGAAAATACCGAAAGAAGTGCGTCCGTTCATATTTTATGGATGTATTTTTTTCATTCATGAAATTTTTGTGATTTTGCTACTTTTGTTCACGCCTTTGAGACATGACGCTGAGACGTTTCTCACGCCGATTTCGACAGTTGTCGCAACAGCCCTTACGAATCCTTGGCTGAAAGCTTTCGATTTGGGTGAGTACTTGTGCCTATCTAAATTGTTAATAAAGCCTCTCCTTGATTTCAGGGTCTATGGCAGAGCCGTTATTTCCGGGGCACGCCACATTTCAAAACATTTTGCTCTCAGCCGTCATTCGATTTCTAGTAACCGTATTTGACAAAGAAAGTCTACTTGAAGACCTAATGTTCGGAAAGGAGAGTTTTACTCCACACTATCGTGCTGACAAGATACGAATGGAATATATTTTTAAATTGGAAACTACAATTTCTGGCTCATCTGTAAAAACACTCATGTGCAAAGGGGGACTAATGGCACATATGTTGTTCCTAGACGGAGCCAGATATTGAAGTTCCAAATTGCAAAATACAGTTAAATGAATAATGTCAGCTTTAATTATATAGATGGTCTAAGTGCCAAACCACGCATCTCCGTTTCTGACGCTGCAGATTTCCTAGCATAGTTTATTTATTTATTTTTTTGGGGGAAGGGGGGGGGGAGATATTTTTGAAAACAAGTCAGCGAAATTTCTGGTATCTGTAATATTTCATTCCATTTAATTTGTCATTGAGAATGGCTTAAAATTGCTCTCGAGGCGTTCCAATTCAAAAATTTTCCAGGGGAGGCCCCCCGGTCTCCCCAGGTCCCCTTCAGCCCAAGTTCTATATCCTCCTGTGCCCCCCCCCCCCTAGAAAATTCCTAGTTCCGCCTATAATACATATACTGATAATACACTTGTGATTTCCTTTTATGAGATCTGCTACTATTTACACTATACCTTGATTAAATAATTTTTAAAATGAGATTTTAATCGTATTTGGTTTCAGTTCTTGCTGCGTACTTACTTCTGACTGTTCATAGTTATTACAAAGAGCTGAAGCGAGAAGTTGGTCAGAACAACAGTGGGGCCATCGTCTAAGGTGGATGTCCTCAAGACTTCACTCGAACAAAAAAGGGGTGCTATTTAATTCCTCTTGGATTTTTTGACTTGCTTGCCTTTTCTTTTTTACTTACCTATTATGTTTTTTGGAGGTTTAAACTACCACTGAAAATTAACTTAGTATTAGTTGAGAAGACTGATAATTATTGTGACACTAACAATACGCCTTATGAATTATGCGGTACAGTCAGCTTTCTCAAATAAGCCCGATTCGGTCTTAAAAAGGAAAATCTTAGCCCTTAAGGCATTTCGATCCTTGGAAATTAAAACATCATACTATGGGAAGTCAATAGAAATACTTATTTCAATCTTTTGAATTGATGATTAGTGAACAAATAAGTTGCTAATAAACATTATTGGTACTGCTCTTTTTCCTATCACTATTATCTTTAAACAAGGTTTAAAAAAAAAATTTAAGACAAACGATCTATGTTGCATACTATAATGTATAATGATGTCCACTCAAAAACCATCAAGTTAACTTCCTGAATTTAACCAGTCTTTCATGTATGTACCTTTCCTAAATAACAAGAAACGGTTGAATGTGTAATTTACAATTTGTCTCAAGCTGGTGTTGATTCCGGGGTCTCCCCAATCTAACGTTCGAATAATATTACGCAGAAATTACTCCAAGATTAAGGATACTTCACATTTCTTCTTCGTTATTACTTATCGGAAGTAATTCAAACTTATCTACTATTGTTAAACATTGCGGGTTTACGTTGCTAATGTATTTATTTTTTACAGATAAGAAAATTGATTTATTTTTTACTGAAAATACTAAATTGTTTTTTTTTATTTTTTATACTTTTTGCTTGAAAAGTGAAGTAAATAAATTTTCCAAGTGAATTACAGTCTGTTTATATTCCTCAAAATAAGTTCTAATACCTCATATTTAAAGGCTCAGTGCGTGACCACATAGAGTGATATTTTTGAGATATTGAAGGGAAAATGATAACATGGAGGGTTTAAAAATTTTTCCTCCACTTTTTCGTTACCTTGGAGGAATACCCCGCCATGCAACATTCTGATTACACTGTCGTTATTTACTTCGGAATAAAATGTCTATTGCTGAAAGAATTCAGAGTTTAATGTCTATCATTTTAGTATAGAACAATGTCTAGCTATAACGATATATCTAGGCTTTATCCTATATTTTAAGTTGGTATTATGCATGTGATTACTTAAAACACAATTTTCTCACGACGCCATTTTGCCTTTCACTCCATTTTCCCACCAACATCCTCTTATAAGAGATAAGCATCCATAGAGGGGGATAATCCGGTAGACAAAAAGGCACAAGGAACAGGATGTACGCAAGCATATTGGAAAATTTTCGCAAGAAAATGAAACAAAACTATTAAACGAGATAAGAAGGTCAATTTTGTTTTTAATAAATTAATATAAATCTAAAAACATAATTTCTTAAAGAGACAAATATAGGTTGTACAAATATACAAGAATTTAGGAACTACTATTTATTTACATTTTTAATCAAATCGGTAATCGTTCAAATCTTTCCGTGTACCTTTTGCATTTTTTCATTGTTTGCAAAACGAATAATCAGGCAGATTTAAAAAAAAAAATCAGTCGGAAGGAATGACGTATGCAAAAATGTAGAATTTTTGTTTATAATAAGTTTTCATTGAACTAAATACTAATCTCTGAGATGAGATTATAAGATATCTCAATCATCTTGGTTTTCACGTAGTTTTGGAAGGTGTGAGATATTCTAAAGAAGTTACATTTCTCGGTTCAGTCGTTTTTTGGGACGGGAGATCCTTACACATACTAATTAAGTAAACATTTTAATATTAAGCTTAGTCTAGAAGTTTAGTCTAACTTTTTAAACCTTTGTATTTTCGATAACACTTGTAAAGCGTTCCCAGTTGACTAAAGTGCCAACAATCCACATTTGTAATGACTCAAGTATAGGGATTCGCTAAAAAATTTCCCAAACTGTTATAAATGCCAATTTTCCCCGCAAGTGTTAAAAAGGCTCAGAATTTCATACGAAGCAAATTAGTGCGCCCTTTTTCCTTATTTTAATAGACGTGGCTAGGAGGATCTAATGGCTACCTCATAAAAACGTGAAGGTCGGGGTAAGTAGCTGCGCAATATTAATAGACTCCCTTGACGAGGAAATAACTTATGGCCCCCATAATATTTTTCCAGTCACACTCACGCTCGTTTCGATTTATTTAAATCGAACAATGTGTTACTCCGATTGCAATGTTGGGAATCTCCTTACTTAAAGGTTTTACATTTTAACAAATAAATCAACTCACAGTTGTCCTTGAAATTTGTTGTGAATTGTTCTCACGAATTTCAGAACACTCAGAAAAATGCCATGGGGGTATTGTGGTTAATTCCTTTCTGGATTTTTTCAAATGTTACAATCGGGATACGATTTTATTACTTACACTGAGAAAAAAAATTCTGTCATAATAACCGAAAACACGGGTGTGGCATATCGGTCGCACTGTTCGATTCATGTGATCGTATACTCACGGTTATAGGAGCCATGAATTCAGTTCATGCAACCGAACTCTTAAACCGGACCAAACCATAAAAAAAACTCGGTTGCGTGAGCCGAGAATACGGTTACGTGACTCTAACAGTACAGCCGAATTGCAAAATTGTATACTTTTGGTTTGCATAACCCAACTTTTTTTCTCAGTGTAGGCATCGATTTCCATACGCAACAAGTAGCAGTTGATTCTGTGAGCTTGAGTGCACCGCAAGCTTACCGGTGTGATGACTTCTTGAATGGAATTTTCTGTATGTAAGTGGGTCTCTCAGTGGAGGCCATCGGTGGAGGGCTATGAGACTCTATGTACTGCGGGCTGTACGGCACCGTTTGGAAATCATCAGACGACGCTTCATTTGACGCTTCGTCGGTGTTGCCCATAAACACTTCCTCCAGCTCACTCAAATCAGGATTTTCCGTTGTTTTCTCCTTCCTCTGCTCCTGGAGCGTTTTCACCGCTTCGGAAAGTGACGCCATGAATTCTTTGTCCTTGCTGGTTGCTACCGTTCCATTGGGGTCCGTCCTATTCTCACGATCGAACATCTCAAACCCGGGGAAGGTGTCACTCGAGAAATTCATACCAGAGACGTCCGGAGAAGAGAACCCGGTTGCCGAAACCCCGGTTCCAGAAAAACCGGTTCCGGACATCCCGGAACCGAAGGTGAAATTGACGGAGTCCGGATTCGTCTCGAAGCTATCCACTTTGGCGGACTCCTCGACGCTCTGGTCCTTGGGGATTTTCGGCTGTTGCATCAAACCTACTATCGATGGCGGGCTGGAACTGGTTTCCGCGGAGGGAAGAACGAACCCGGAAGGTTTCGCCGCGAGCAGGAAGTTGGTGGGCGATACGCCCGCGCCGCTGGGCAGGGCCGTTGGCAGGAAGGGTTTTGCCAGCTGAATCGGTTTCGTGTCGTTGTGGATGAAGCGGTTGAAGGCGAGGTCCATGTCGATGCTCTCCTCGCGCGGCGGTGGGGTCGAACCGGTGCCGGTGGCTCGTGTGGCCGCGAGCGGTTTGAGGGTGGTCACCAGGATTTCCGGCTCGTCCGGGTTGAACGACTGGAAACCGTTGTCCCCGAAGCGGGCGCACTCGAACTTCAGGATGAAAGTGTGGCTGGAGTGACGGGTCTCGAAGTTGAGGCAAAACTGGATGTTTCGCCCCGGGCCGGGGAAGGTTAGGTTCGATACCTTTGCGCACATCTCCAGGGGAGTCGAGGATGGTGAATGGTTGGAGAGGCAGAAGGGGGCTGGATTCTCGTCTGTCGGAAGAAGAACACAATACATCCTTTAGTTTTAGTAGATTCTGAAAATTTTACCCTTGCAAATCCACTTGGGACTCCGGTTCAAATTCAACCTGAGTGACATAGACCGCGTACAACAGAAAGGAACCAAGCCACATCAGCTATCGCCAAATTTAACTGGGCAATTTAATTTTTTACGGAAGAACGTTTGAGCGGATTCCTTTGAAAATTTTAAGGAATTTGCTTCGCGCTGTGGAGAAAATTCACCGTGAAAATTGCACAAAAATCCGCACAGCCGTTTTCATGTATAAAATTAAATTGCCCAATAAAATTTGGCGATAGCTGATGTGGCTTGGTTACTTTCTGTTAAACGCGGTCAATATTATCTGTTTTCCTGTGCCATTTTTCGAACTATTTATGGGGGTTAACTTGGAGGGTGTCATTGCTTCATTTTTGTCAGTTCAATGTGAATATAATTTTTTGCAAAAGAAAACTTATATATCGACTTAAGTGCGTTATCCATTTCTGGATCACATTTTTGTTTTCTTAGCGTTCATATCATCGTCCACGAGAGAAGTGACCTTGGTCCGCAAGTATACCTATTCATAACATTGTCACCCTCCGGCCAAAGTATCACAAGCGCAATGCAACGTCAAAAAATTTCCGCCGCCATTTTATTTTTGTAAAGAGAAATTGTTCAACGAAGCTGTCCGTAAATTTCACTGAGTTTTTTTTGTGCTGCCGATAAAAGTTCAGTGAAATTTTTAAACAGATTGAAACAATTTCTCTGGACAAAAATAAAATGGTGGCGGAAATTTTGAAACGCCGAATGGCGCTTCTGATACTTTTGGCCGGAAGGTGACGACATAAGTATGTGCTATATGTACGAGAAATAGCCAAGTCTTTTTTAAAATTAAAATCACGCAAAAATAAAAATGAGTTCAGCATCCGCTCTTTCAGTGGTGGATCCAGCAAGTTGGCAATACTTTATTCTCTCCATTCAGCTCGCATTGAATAAACAACCGATTCTTACCGGAGTACCTGACCCATTCATCATTTTATTAGGCAGTATGTTGGGATCAATATTCAATAGAGACACTGGGAGTGGAAATCAAATGAATCAAGGTAAGACATGTTGCCGTTGAAGTAATTGAAGGCGTTTGTTTTCAGCATATGCAACAGCAACACAAATGCGGTGAGTGTGCTCTGTGCTATGCTACTGGTACTTAACGACCTGACCAGCATAAGTGCACGAAAGTACATCTAAATTTTTTGCTCTATCGCATGGCGAACAAAAAATTTAAATATTCATTTTAACGAATTGCCATTTTCTTCCTGCTATCTCTTGGTATTATAAATTATCCAGTCACGTCTTCAGGTGTGAATATTCGTCACATCCTTTTTTACTTGCACCAAAAGCTCGCAGTGATATTAAAACTTTAGATAATACAATATCAGAAATTAATTTTTCTAAGAACACGCGTGAATAATCACTCTAAAGTCAAGAATAAATCTCAAATAATATGGTTTGGTCAAAAATTTGTCATTAGTGGAGGAGATCAAAAATGTCATACGGAGGGGGCTCCTGTCTCTGTGGCGAAAAAAAAAAAAACATTTTAAAATCGCAATCATATTTGTTAGTCCGAAAACGGTTCCTCATAAAAAATAGATATATTTTCAAAATCTGAGTAAAGAAAACCTTTTTTTCCTTCTTTTCTTAATAAACCAATTCTTAAGTCAGATTCCAAAGATCTTTCCCTCCAACCTCATAGCTACATCTAATGACTGATTCACTTTCAAGAAGTTCGGACGGCTCTCTTTATTAGCTTTGACGTAACGAGACATTCTTTCACCGTTACATCTCCTTCCTTCCTTCTGTTCGGTTAATATAAGTCTCGAGCTGATGAATTTCGCTAATAAGGAGCGCAAACATCGACTTCAAAAACATTTGACGATCTGACAATGATTTTCATACGAGACATTCTTCCAAGGTTACACTTTCTCTTCTCGATCTTTCTAACAGACGATGGTTCTGGATGTCAAATATGGCCCACGTAATGGCCCGTAAGTTCAAGTTCTGGGACTTATTTCATAACTGTCACCACCGTTGAATGCATTCAAGTTTCCAAGCGCTTGCATTAATCCAGAGAGGCATTCTGCCAGAACCAAACGACGCTCATTTATAACTTTTTAGTAAAAGTTGTGATGCGATGGGTTTTCCCCCTTCATTTTTCACAATTTTTCAATGAATTTGAACAGACTTAACCATAAATACATCTGACGATGCCTATACTCATAATCTTAATCTTAATCTCATCTCGAAAGTTTTCTTCATTTAACAAAAAACTGAACAAGATTCTGACTTGACATTTTGTGGGCAGGTACATCCTCTCTAATTTAGGGTAAATTTTGAAGTTCAAGTCAAGTTTCAGCATTAAGTCTCGAATGTGGAGTTATTGTTACGAATAAGTAAACGTAGTGCTTTTTAACATTTAAAAATGAAAAAAAAATGCTTGAAAAAAGAAATAAAATAGTTACAAGAAATGGGACTTTTCAATGCAAAATTCAAATATTTTATTATTACCAGTATTTTGCCTTAGGAAGAGTTTCACAAACACTTTGCTGCGAAAAAAATTTCAAATCAATCCGAAAAGTTCTCGGAATTCTTTTGGTCTGTGTCGGGAGAAGAATAGTCACTATTACAGAGAGAATTGTTCTTGTCACAAAAGAGTAGAATAGTAGATGAGCCCATTATTGTAAAATTTCATAACCTCAACAATGATTTTTCTCGTCATCAAAATCATTTTTTATAGCGACAAAGATAAGACTTCTTGGGATATTTCCCCCACATATTTCATACATAATGATTTTCATGACTAAAGAAATTACTGTGGAGGTAGCTTCATATTTTATGGCTTCATGTGTCACTTTTCTCTTTTATTTCAGAGGCAATTTTCCTAGTGATAGTGATTTATTTTTTTGCACGCGTTTGAAGCTCTAAAATTATTGGTTTTAAATGCAATCTCGCGACCTCCGCACGGCATAAAACGCACTAAATTGCTCACAACCGGACGCAGTTAAATCAAATGAAACTATATCCATTGTGTCATGAGCTCTGTCATGCACGTTGTCCTGGCAATGGATCTCAGGGTTCATGTCAGAATAGATATATTTCCATTTTGCTGAAATACGTCCAGCTTATTTATCGGATACTGGAAAGTGTTTTTTAGTTGAAAAAAGAAAATTCTGATTACTTTATCTGATTTGACAAAAACCGGAAAAAGTTTGACAGAAACAAGGCTCGCAAATTTCTTCTTTCACAAGACTCAATATTAAGGACAAAAGACGATCGTTTTCATCTTTACAATATATTTTCTGACTGCATTTTTAGCAGGAGACAATTGGACCGAGTTTATCAGAAAGGAACCAACCCACATTTCCGAAAAAATTGAATTAAGAATGTATTCGAGTTCCACTAGCCGTATATTTTCTCTCGTCAAAAACTGAAAGTCGAAAAACAGAAATTAGTTTATGAAAAGAGGGGATGAAGTTTATTTTCTACATTGAGTCTTATGCAGGAATAAAATTTCAAACATTTTTTTCTCAGTTTCAACTTAATGTGGGTTGATTCCTTTCTGATGAACTCGGTCCAATTTACGATTCGTCAAATCCACAACTATACTCATAACTTTTTTTTTTTTTTTACAAAATGAGACTTCGCACGGCTCTTTTAAACTCGGTCTATTCCTTCCTCATACGGAAGAACGTTTAACTACATTTCAAGCCGTTCCCATATCAAATTTTTACCGGGAAAATCTTGAGCAAATCTAAATGAAAATGTCTGTGATTTTTCATCCGATCTCGTGAAAAAACAGGAAAATTTGGGATAAAAACTGCACAGGTACATTTTTGTAAAAAATCGAATTGTTCGGGTCAATTTTGCAACCTTGGGATAAAGTCACGTTCCCTCGTCCGGGGGACGACGTGTCCTCTCGTGCAAATTCACCATTCAGTATGCTCATATGATAAACTGACCTGTGACATCGTCCTCGACAACGGTGGAGTCATTCATGAGGAGTTTGACCCTGATTTTCTCCTGCTTAAGATTGTAGCCGAACTGGAAGCAGCCTCTCTCCCTGAATTTGATGGCGTCGTAGAAGAGATTTGTGCAGCAGTTGCAATCCCACGCGTCGCATGCGCAAGGCGGTCGCCCGTACGAAATGATGAGCCCGTTATTCGATAAATTCTCCTCCTGGTGCAATAACGGAATCGGTACGCCGTTCTTGGTGTTGTAGTAGATCGGGTGATGCCGCCAGTCTAGAATCCAATAAATTCAGTCATAAACTAATTGTGGACATTGCTTAGACTCGCACTTCCAGTGCACCTCAAATTATTGTTTGCTCGCGCATGACCATGAAGACGCTGAATTGCAATTTTATTGATTCGTCTCATTTCCATCGTTCTTTCTTATCAATCAAAGGGGCAAATTAAATAGTACAGTAGAGTCTCGACGTATGGTTTCCACAGTCAGGGAACACCAGGAAAACTGGGGAAAGTCTTGGCGTCGGTATGACCTGAGATACAGCATATTTCGCCTTTTGCTATCGATATCGTTTACATTGTGATTAATGGAGGATTAGGGAGGCCATAGTAACATAAAATCTTAAAATGGATATTTCGCACGTACCTTTAATGACATTCATTTGTTCAACGTTGGAAATAGAATCATGAAATGGAGTTATGGTGACTAGTCAAAACAAAAAAATTTAAAATATAAAAGAAAAAATTGTGCGCGTTTTTAATTTTAAGGTAGATTTGCACTTACCTCACAGTATGTCGAAATCATAAAAAAATTTACTTCGTATTTTGTATTTTCTTGTAGAGGTAAATCATTGTAATCCTCGCAAGGATCTATTTTCTAAGCTTTATGGATGAGTTTCTCTCAAATTACCCTCCTTATGATGGTCTGTTAATGGCTTTTAAAACTACTGACAACTGTCCTTAAACTGTGAAATGGACTTATTTAAGGACAACTATGCAATTATGGATACGGCCCTGGGTGCTCTTGAAATACTCAAAATTAAGATTCTCTTTATTTGACTACATTTTTATATTTTACTTACAAATTTGTTTTACTTGAAAGAATGTTCCATGGCCTAAAGTTCTCTGGTTTTTTTCTGAATTTTCCGTTTCATTGGCTGATTTTGAGTACAAAAATCAAAATCGAAATTGGTCATAAAAGTACATTCATAAGTGACCATTACACCGGCTCAGCTCTTGCTTGAACAAAATTGTGCATCACCGAAATGGCTGTAGACGGATCAGTGTGCCCTCAAAGAGTTTGCTAGGGATAAAAATGTATTCCTACCTTCCTGCTCAGCTGAGATAATGTAGAATACCTGAAGACTGCTAACCACAAATACGGATTCAACGATGCGTTTGAAAAGTTTGTGATGCTGCATTTTAGACCCACTCAACGATCCGAACCTAGGGAACAAAAAATTGTAAGAAATCAATGCAAAAACTAAGAATGTAAAATCTGATAAGTTTTTTTAAAATCATCCACCTATACCTACTGTTTAATTCACATATAATTTCATGATAATCAAATTTTACTTAAAAGTTGTTGTTTGATTGACTAATCACTTAACTTTGTTGATTTTATCATCTTCACATTTTTTACACTAAATGCGATAGTTATCATCGATAGACCGGCACCGGCCTATCTGCACTCAGGAATGAGTAGAGAAGAGTGAACTTTCCTCTTGGTGATTCACATTAGTTAAAGTATTATGTATGTGTTTAAGATATGTGCACAAAATGAAGTCATAGCTTCCTAAAAAGTGACCGCCATGATATTTTGAGAATGAGGAATCCCATTTTTCTACGGATATCTTTCAAAATACCCATTTTCGTAAATGTTTGGAGGTACACATGATTGACGATTTTTTCCGAAAACATCACTATAGCAAACAACATTTTGCCCTCTTTAAAATACCAGTTTTTCAAAAATGAACATATTCACTTGGTTGTTTTTAAATAGTCAAACAAAAAATTAAACTTAAAAAAATGGAAGTATACGTGTGTTTACACCATTAAGTGTGCATTATAAAAAGGATTAAATATCATTGATATTTCAATAGAGGAACATGATTAAAAGTAACTGCAAACGGCCTTTTAGTGTGTTTATTTGTAAAAAGATAAAGAAATAAGGTATATGAGTACTTATAACTACGATTATAAAACAGCGTGCATCAAGATCAGCACATGGCCTGCTTTTGAAAATCACAACGGCGATGTATTTCAAGTTTTAACATATAGAGATTAAGAATGGTTTTGTCACATATTTATCTCTGAACTTTTTTTTCGTTTTTTCATTCTTCCTTCTTGGGGGAGGGGGGGGGTCGAAAAATATTGATCGCGACGAGAAATTTTAGGTTATAATAGATATGCTTCTAATTTCGAAGTAGGCCGTTCAAATTTAAAATTTTCAATTTCACTCGAAAAAATTAATATGCGCGGGAAATCCTCGTGATGGAACGCTGAAATAAAAAATAATTGATGCAACTTAGGAAAATTCAATACTTCTCAGCGCTCGTGTGACATGCATTTCGAGGCGTCGATGGTGGCCTTTCTAGGTTTCGAGGTGGCAGTCGATGGCAGAATGGCACGTGCTCGAGAAAGACCGCGAGCGCAGAAACACGTCGGGACAAGATAAAAGGATGCAAATTAATAAGCGTAATTTTTTTCTTACCTGATGCGATGAAGATGAAATGCCGGGTAGTTTTGAGCTGTTGGCAGCCTCGAATCGAGAGACAGCTCCGGAGGCTTACCAGATATGGCTCTCGGGCTATGTTGCCGATAGTATGAAAGCCCCCGGAGTAGTGTTGGGGAAAACCGGGATTTTCGTGGAGAATCGGCAACACTGCCGATGGGTCATTAACATTTTCACTTGGAGCTTGGAGCGGCCGGGCCCTCGCAGCGGACTTGGACTTGCTCCATCGGCTTCAAAAAACCAGTTCTGTTTTTCTTTCTACGCACACATGCGCACACGCTTACTCCTTTATTTACCTATGTTTTTAAGCTTGGCATACATACGAAAAAGCTCCGCTGATTGCTGCCTGAGGCTGTATGATGAGCGGTGTCCACCGTTTTGCCGACGGAAATGAGATTTTCGCCGGCAGACGCGAGCTTTTGCGCGAATTTCTGCCGCGTTGCCGCTGTTTCCTGAAAGAAACGAGGGTACAGAAACACATAGGGTATACGAAGAGTACTAATACTAGACAGAGGTATGATTGATACAACCACACTTTCAGCTGACTCAACCGTGCCTCTGACTAGTGCAACTATAATCTTACAAGTGGCGCCAAAATCAGCCAGGAGCATAGTTGGGATTATGATACTTTTTTTCCGTGCATAGTGGTGAGAGAAGCGGGGTATTAAAAAAGCACAAAAATTGTCCTTTTTTCATTATATCCTACCAGAAGTTCTAGTTGGTTCTCTTGACTATAGTTAATCATGTCTCATTACACAGGACACAAGCTGTAAAATTCAGCTTGAAAAAATTAATCATAAAAAAGTTGCAGTTTTTTCGGGTTTTCTAAAACTCAGAAAAGGCGTCTTTTGGAATTTTGATCCTACCTGTTTCAAGTGCCCACAATAGCTTCTCCAGCCCTAAAATTGATCAAAAATTTTGAAGGTGCAGGAAAATTGTCTACGTCAGCAAATCTAACTTTTTATTATCAGTAATTTTACGGCTGTGGCTGACAATCAGTTTTGAAGGTGCATCGCTTAATGAGCGTGGCAATTTACGTCTGGAGTCTTCACCGCAAATTTGGCGGTTATTTTTACTTTAAATGTGGTATTCCGTATATTGCACCAAATAACATCCGAAGGGTAAAACAATTCTGGCACTAATAGGTAAATAACAACAGATCTATTGATTAATTCACTATTTTTCGCTATTTCGGGAAAAATGCGGATTGATCCAATGTTGGTCTTCAAAACCAAGCTAGAGTTTTGGAATGATTATATTAAAAAGTAGAATTTTTTACGTAAACAAACTCATTGGAAAAAAATTTGCTTGGATCTAGAGTCCAGACTCTTAAAAACATTGACAAGAAAAAATACTCTTGATTCGATCGGACTTCTTGCTTGAATCAAAAGGAAATCCGCCTAGATCAAGAGGCTCGGCTCCTCGATTCAAGAAAAAGTCGTATTGAATCAAATCGTTTTAACAATTCGAATTTAAAGGCCAAAAAAGTTCCTAATTGGTACTTGTCCTTTATTTGCCGTGGATTCTAGGTCACAGACAACACTGCCACATGGAGGAGAGACCCAATAGATTGATTTAGTAACTACGTCATTCGATATAATATCGTGCTCTTGGTTCAAACTGAAACAAACTAACATAACCTCATGTGCCAATTCTTCATGAGTCATTTGTGTTGATTTCTTGAAATTGACCGGTCATAAATCAATCAATCATAACTCATTAAATACGAGAACTTTCGATTGTGAGAAACATTTGGACGCATTTCACCACCATGGTGCAAAGGCACGAATCAGAAACAAGGTTCTGTGTTCGTTCACATTAGAACCAAGGGTTCGATATTATATCGAATGACGTAGCCATTAAATTAGTCAAGTTAAATTAGTCTATCGGTCAAGATTGTCACCCCCCTGCGACCTTGCCACCCCCCCTTCCCCCCTGCAAATAAGTAATTTTCCGCGATTTTTGAATTCGTATTGTGTAGAGCTCCCCTCTCGCTAGTTCGTAATATTTCCACACAGGAATTGTTTGCGACTTGTTGGATGTCACTTGAAAATACGGGCCCATGACTTCTGGTTGTACCATAGCCTTGAATATTCGACGTGCCGCGATTACAGCGAGGATAATTTTTGGCGTTGTCTCTTTCCTCGAGAGTTTACTTTGATGTGTGTTTGTCGATGGACGGACATTCGCCTGCATCTTCCAACCCAGGCATGAAGGAGAGAAGGATTTGGTAGACAACTACTAAGTCGATCATAATTTAATTCAGTAAATGCGAATATATACGCGCATCCTTGTTATTGCGACGGCCCTCCGTAGGTTTTAAGACTTAATCTTTGGGAACAATCGAGCAACAGCGCAGCCAACTACGTGCAGAAATTTGAGCGGACAGACCCACCAGCGTTGTCTCTTTTGGTCATGATTTCAGTAAAAGGAAGTTATTTTAGCTATCGGTTAGGTCTATAGAAAATGAATAAGGTGAACTTAACGTCAAATAAAGATGAAATAGGATTGAAGTTGCCCTCCAGCGTCAGGGCCGGATTTACCTACATGCCGCCCATGGGCCGCCTGTATTTTTCCGCCCCCTTCTCATTTGTTTTGAAACATCAGCTTCATATACGCTAGTCTTGTCGATTTCCTTTGACATTTTAGTAGTCATGAATGCATAGCTAAAATGCGCTCCAGCCAGAAGTGTATTCAGCAAATGAGTAGTTTCTATAGGAGGATTGAAAACAAACAAATGGTAGGAAATAAAACATAATAATAAGAACTTTGCAAAATTATAATCCGGGTATCGGAACATGGCTGTTTTGAAAACGCCTTCAAATGCGGCGTGATACCTCACGCATTCCGGAGAGTTTAAATAGTTGTATCATTGCGCCTTAGAAATACGAAGGCAGATTACAATTGAAATAGCCTTCATACTCGCTAGTCTTGTCGATTTCCTTTGACATTTTTGCAGTGGTGAATGCATAGCTGAAGTGCGCTCCAGCTAGAATTGTATTTAGCAAATGAGTAGTTTCTATATAGGAGGATTGAAAACAAACAAATGGTAGGAAATAAAACGTAATAATAAGAACTACTCAAAACGATAATCCGGGTATCGGAACTTGGCTGTTTTGAAAACGCCTTCAAATGCGGCGTGATACCTCACGCATTCGGGAGAGTTCGAATAGTTGTATCATTGCGCCGTAAGAATGTGACGGCAGATTACAATTGAGGACACCGCATCAAGAACAGCCTATAGGCGTATAGGTCGTTATTACACCCATCTGCTTTTCGGATTCTCCGTACCCTGGACCAAGCTGTGGTAGCGATAGAATATAGAAAGGTAACAGCTGGCGGTCGAAAAACCTTTTTTTTTCCGAGTTAAGTCAGGCCTCTGGATCGATGGGTGCAAGAACGACCTATAAACGGTCCTATAAGGTGCTAGTTACCCATTCCTTTACTCACTATCGATATTCTTTCATTTTGCGTTAATCATAAGTGATTAAAATGATTTATACTTCATTTTGCCACCAAAATGACTGTTGGACGTAATAATGGCCTATAAACCGCTTTTTTAAATTAAATATATGAGAGTATAAACCCAAAATGTATCGCAAAATCTACCCGACATCCTTCAATAGAAGGGTTAGGTAGCCCAAAAACACCAAAACAGGGTACCTGCATAGAAAAGTCTGCGCAGTACATCAAAAACAAAACTTTAAATGCGTTTTTTTCAAAACGCGGTTTCTAGTTTTAGGCTGTTCTTGATGCGGTGTCTTCAATTTCACTTTTCATTGCCGTTTGGTACTCGAAAGAATAAAAATTCGATCATATAAGACCCGTTACCTCAGATTTCTAAATTGACTTTTGAGGCTTTGGTTACATATTGAACCAATTGATATCAAGATAATCTCACCTGTGTGATCTGTCGAATACAATCCATAAAAACCATCAAGTGAACGTGCCGGTGGGGGAGGGGTGCATAAGACGCGTTTACTCGCGTTGGGCACATTTTTTTGTAAAAACCCTGTCAACAGTAACAAAAGTTCAGTTCCGTAAACCCATCCCTGTTTGGAGAATGCCTTCCATTTATAAAAAAGAACGAAAAAATTATGAAAGAACAAACATGAATATGGTTAAAAATGTTAATTTCCACCGCCGCACCGACCGCACCGTGTTGGCGCAATGCGTGAGGTATTCATGCAGTCTTGTAGGCGCTATGCGTTTCACGCCCACCGCTGCTGACCACACTGTTTGGCGCAATGCGTGAAGTATTCATGTAGTCTTGTAGGCGCTATGCGTTTCAAGCCGACTGCTGCTGGCCGCAGTGTGTTTGACGCAATGCGTGAAGTATCCATGCAGTCTTGTAAGCGCAATGTGTTTCATGCCGACCGCTACGCCGCTCCGTTCCAGGTCGAATTGCGTGTTTGGTTTTTCTCTTAACTCGACTAATTAAAGGTGTTGTCTCTTGTATCACCGAAAGACGACAAAATTAGAAATTACTATACTTTTACTCTCAGGAAATGAGAGATTTTGTCACCTTTTCTCGTTTGTAATTTATTTTCTGAATCCGAATGTTTTCTCTCATTTTTTGATACCTAAATTCAAAAAGATTGCAAAATTTGCCGCCCCCCAAATATTAATAATTGGTTTAGGATTGACCACCCTACGTCGTCCGTTGTTAAGGAGGTGGTCCAGCGGGCTGATTATTGAAATTGGTAGACAAAGCGATAGAGAAAAAAGGCAAAAAAGGACATGGAAGTATCCTATTGGTGGAAGCGGGTGGTTGCAATGGACAAAGTAGGTAGGTAACTAACTAACGGCAACTCACGAGGAACCTTTTAATTAGTTCATAATTTTCTTCCCTAGTCTGTAAGAACCATCCAAATTAACCAACAGAATTGCTCCATAGTCCTTATGTTTTCTTTGTCTATCACTTTGTCTATGAATTTCAACAAT